TTTTTTTTTTTTTTTTTTTTTTTTTTTTTTAAGGGACAAAACAAAAAAATAAAAATTATGGGGATCTAAAGCACGAAAAACTCTACATCCCCATATACATATATTTTTTTACTTTTTTTTTTCTTCTTCGGGTTCCGTCACTTTGTACGGGACCGACCGTACGACAGAAACCCCCGTATGACGTATGGGGTGCAGCACAGCTTCCAGGGGCTAGACCTGGATCCAATTTTTGATAACGCTGGCCAGAGACAAATCTAGTATCATTTCATCCACTTATGAGTTGTATTGATTTAAGGTTTTTCGAGGTTTCTCCAGCTTTGTTGTTGTATTGTTGTATGTTGGTAAAAAAAGTTGTGGCTTCGTTCCAGATAGTTGTTGGAATTGTTGTATTGTGAGTGTTGCTTTCACATGAAATTTTCATGAGAATCGTGACTTTTATTTTGATGGTGGATGACGAGACATCGTCTAATGGGGTTTGGGAATGCTATCGGAGCAGACACCCTTACAATGGTATCTACTCGGGGTTTTTCAATGTCGGACGCTATCTGAGCTTTTCGTTGAATTGAAGGACTCGATGAGATTGACGTTCGCCAAAATTCATTCAAAATAACCTATGACCAAGAGATTGAAACTTTTTGAACTTTAGTCTGAACGCTTGTTGCGTCCGAGAGTAATGACAATAACGGGCAGTGCTTCGTTTTAGTCAAGGTCGCAGAGGCTCGTAGGCATGGGAACGCTAAAGCTAGACCTATTCTACCTAAAATAATGATGTGCGGTTTTACAACTGCGCAATTTAGAGTCTAACTGGGCGAAAAGGAACGGTCGCGCCGGGTATGAGGGCGCAGCGCAGGAGGAATATGAAGCTTTTTTTTATTTCATCGGTTCGCGGGGTTTGACTTCGAGCCGGGGGGCCAACAGACCAGTCCCGAGGCTTATCTGTTTGGGTAACTTCCGAGTTGTGGATAGGCAGTCGTCCATGGGAAAGGGGCATACAATAGAGAGCCAGGGCCTGCTGGCCACGAGAAGGAGGGGCGACCTACTGGGTGCAACCCTCAAATAGAAGGGTTGTTGCTTCTACTTTTGTGAAAGGAGCTAGCCCAGTAGGTAAACACAGTAGACTGTCATGCTACTGATACAGGGAACGAATCCGACTTTACTCAACTCTTTTAGAGCTGCCATCGCGAAGCCGCGGCCGATTTTCATCGTGCGATCAATGAGATCGCGCGACTGAGATCAACCGTGCGGATTCGATGTGACGCATTCATATGAATGACACACATAAATCGAGCAACGATCCAACTTTTTTTCGACGCGTGAGGGATCAACACAAGTCTATATTTCAGCAGCTCGTGGGTCCTCCACGAACAAGATATAACCGCTGGCACAAGCCAACGAGAGAAAATAGGAAAAATATATATAAGAAAATAATAATTAAAAAAAAAAAAAACTTAAAGCGAAGTGCCACATGGCACTGGTTTAAGTAGAAGGGACTTCAAGTCCCCAAAACAAGTAGCCGATGCCCGTTTTGACGAGCAGCCTGACAAGTAAGTTTTTTTTTTTTCTTTCATTTTATCTTTTTCTTTAGATTTTTTTTAGATTCTTCTTTCCTTAGATTTTGTTTATATTTTTCTATTTTTATTTTTCTTTTGATCCCCCCTCCATGTTCTTTTGAAGTCTGTGCCAATTCGTTTCAATGAACGGGCTGCAGCAGGGGGGGTGAAAGTTTTATGTCGACAAGATGAGCAAAATCAAATGAATCTACCGCTAGAACATAAAAATATACAATACTACAGTACTCTGTGTGTGTGTGTGTGCATGTGTGCGTGTGTGCGTGTGTGTGTATGTGTGTGTGTGTGTGTGTGTGTGTGTGTGTGTGTGTGTGTGTAAGAGAGAGAGAGAGAGAGAGAGAGAGAGAGAGAGAGAGAGAGAGAACGGAGTTTCCAACCTGGCACTGGCTTCTTGGTACTTTCATCGATAGGATGAACAAACTCGAATGAATCTTCAGCCAGAACATGGAAACATACGCTGCCCTCGTTTTTACGGACAGCTCTAGGTAAGTTAGTTTCTTCATGTTTTTTTTTTTTTTTTCTTTTCTTGTTGTTAGATTTTTTTTTTAGATTTCTCGTTTATATTTTGCTTCTGATTTTTTTATAGATTCCTTTCCCCCTCTTCTGGTCTTGGAACAGGTTGCGAATGGGCGTCTGTATTTTTTGCTCTTTTAGGGCCAAATATAGGCACATAGGGGAAGAAGACCCTGTTGAGAGTGGCCGATCGATCCTTAAGTGTTTCAAGACTGGAAGCTAGAGGTGTTAGAAAAGTTACCACGTGGATGAGTGGCTTGTGGCAGCCAACTGCTCATAGCAACATTGTTTTTTGATTGTTCGATGTTGGCTCTTCCTACCACTGTGCGCGCATATATCGGGTGCATTTATTGCGCCAAATACAGACGCACAACCAAGGGTACATGCTTGTAAGAATCAACAAGGAAAGAATACCCTGTTAAGCTTGACTTTAGTTCAACTCTGTGAAATGACCTAGGGAGGAAGTCTGTTCGATTTTCAATAACGAGCTTCTTAGAAAAAAAAAAAAAAGATGAAAGGAAGAGGCAACGACCATGAATGTAGCCTCAGTCACGCCCCAGATTCAGGCCAATTGGTCTGAGTGTGACCACTCAGGTTAGGCCTGTATCTGAAGGGCCATTTGAAAAGTGGTTGAGTACAACCGCTCCTTCGACATACCCGCACTAGGGAAGATGCTGGGTACAAAAGAAGAAAAAAAACAAAAGGGGGAAACAGAGAGGAACTCAACATGCTCAACTGTTTCTGGCTCTTGATTGAGATCAAGGGCTCATGATCAGTTTGAGTCCTGAAGCAAGCCTCTCACTTTTGTATAAAGGCAACTTTTCCCCCAACTACCTCATTCATTCGAACAGCTAAAAGAAGTGGTGCTTGGAGGAGCAGCTGCAGGAGATGCTGCTTGGAGGAGCTGCTGATGAAATGACAGCTGCTTGGAGGAACACTGCTAGAGGTCTGCTGGAGGGAAAAAGTGGAGGTGCTGGTGGTTTGCAGGAGTCAGGAGCAAGGCATCCATAGTCGACGTTGGTCCGCAAGATTGAAGAGCGGGGCAACCATAGCCGAGTTTGGGGTCATTCTGCCTCAGCGTTGGGATGGTGCTGCGCCAGTGGGGCCTTCTTTGGTGGGTACAGGTCATTGTTCCACACTGTGGTGGTGAGGCTGCTCCAAGGGTCAGCGACGCGGCAGGGCATACCCCATTTAGCGGGGTTATGCCGCCAAAATTGCACGACATCGACATTATATATTTTTTTACAAACATTATGCTGGGGAGTTTGCGGCGCATCCAACAACGCTGAACTATGGCGAAATGTTGTCCGTTCGGCGGTAGACGGGAATGAATGACTTCGGCGGTGTATCTCATCAAGTCAAAACTAAGGCAACCAGTTTACCTTGTCGGGTGCAGTGAGGTTATTGTTGAAGCCAACTTTATGTTGGTTGTTTAGTAAAAAAATTATTGAGTCTTTACTCGAGGGGATCGAATTTTATTTTGAACTTGTGTTA